AGGGGGAGGGGTTGAGGAAGAAAGGAAAGGAAAGGGAGATAGGAAGGAAGAAAGGAAGGAGAAAAGAAAAGAAAGAATGTGAAGGAAAGGAAAGAGGGAGGGAGGGAGGAAGGAAGGAAGGAGAAAGGAAAGGAAAGGAAAGAGGGAGGGAGGAAGGAAGGAAGGAGAAAGAAAAGGAAAGAGGGAGGAAGGAAGGAAGGAGAAAGGAAGGAAGGAGAAAGGAAAGGAAAGGAAAGGAAAGGGAAGGAGGGAGGGAGGAAGGAAGGAAGGAAGGAGAAAGGAAAGGAAAGGAAAGGAAAGGAAAGAGGGAGGGAGGAAGGAAGGAAGGAGAAAGAAAAGGAAAGAGGGAGGAAGGAAGGAAGGAGAAAGAAAAGGAAAGAGGGAGGAAGGAAGGAAGGAGAAAGGAAAGGAAAGGAAAGGAAAGAGGGAGGAAGGAAGGAAGGAGAAAGGAAAGGAAAGGAAAGGAAAGAGAGGAAGGAAGGAAGGAGAAAGGAAAGGAAAGGAAAAGAAGGAGGGAGGGAGGAAGGAGAAAGGAAAGGCTAAAAATGCAACGATGAAAAAAGTAGAAGAAAGTAGAAAAAAAAGAGAAATCTAAAAAAAAAAGATAAAAAAATATTCTCCATATAGCAGTTACAAGTCCGTTAAGCTCTTTCTCAAAAATTACATCAACTCCATTCTTTCTACAATCTTTTCATCAAAACCGTAAAACCGCAACTTCACTTTCTCTCTCTCTCTCCCCCCCCTCCACCCCCCCCCACGTTTTTTACACAAAAAGTCCCTAAAGGAATTTTCTGTGGAACCGATAAATTCTTGAATCTAAGAAATTGGTTTGTCCATCTCAGCACGTTTTCGGTCCATTTCACAGATGTGTGTTTGCTTGCTTGCTTGCTAGCATGTGTGTGTGTGTGTGTGTGTGTGTGTGTGTGTGTGTGTGTGTGTGTAGAGGCGTGATGCATTGGCAGCTGATCCAAACCCCAAGAATGACTCACGTGAAGTGAACACGTCAGCACCAGGGAGAGCTCCGGGGAAAATTTTTGCCCAATTCAGACAACACCTTAATCCAGAGAAGGAAATTTACTAATTGCCTTGTGGCGATATTTGACTAATTCCAGGATGGGGGATCCTCCCAGGACGCCAATCTTGGATAACGCTTCTCCCCCTCCCACAGACTCTTCATAGCCCACCGAGCTTCGCTGATCTTAAACAGCTGAGCAAAGTCGGACCGGATCAATAGCTGGGAAAGGAGACCACCCAGAGATCTTGTAAGGCCAGACTGCAAAGCCATCGGTCGCAAAAGCCTCGAACTGAGTTTGATTTCAAGGAAACTTTGCGAGCCAAGACTGGGGCAATCAAGCATCCCCCCTCCCCACTTCTCCTTTAAATAAAGAAATACTTTTTAAAATAATAATAATAATAGACATCTTGTGTTTTTGTCTTTTTTAAAAATATTCACGTTTCTTTAAACGTTTGGGCTTAGTTTTGTTTTGTCTCTGTTCGTTTTTTTTTTCTTTTCCCGATTTGGATTTTGTATTTTAATGAATAAAAATAAAATGGGGGAGGGTTTTTGAAAAATAAAAATAGGAGAGGAGAAAGGGCTTAAGGCTAGCGGAGCCGGTTTTATGCTTCGGATAAGATCTTAACGTGTCAAGGCGTTTTCCATAGCTGCGACTCACCTCCGGGGAGAGGAGAGCAAAAGATTGCATTACTCATTACTTAAACTCCTGCTTGAAGAAATCCACGTTTCGCCATACAGCTTGTGCAAGCGTTGCTGGAAACAGATGCAAATTGTTTCGCACTCGGTACCAACGAAAATATCCCCGTTTAGGATGAGTGTGAATTAAAAAAAAAAAATGGGTTGACACCCAGTGGAAAAATTTTATCCTTAAGCTTAAGCTTTTAGAGTCTCAAAATTGCAGAATCGCTTTTGGGCTGATCTGACCCCCAAAAGTGCTGGTTTCCCCCCCCAAACTTGAACATTTGCTCCTGGTTGTAGCTGTTTTGGTTTTTTTT